GGTATGTGAGGTTTATCAGTTGGTTCACTTTGAAAGTTGAAGGTATGCACTATTGACTAGTTACGAGGTGAACAAGACGGACATTCAGCATTCTGTAACCAACAGCAGTTGCTGAATTAACTCAAGCCTGAAGGTTAGATTTATTTCATCATCTTGTGTTCATGAATTCTCTTATTATTTGTGGTAAAGAGCTTTCACTGGTAAAATGAGAATGATTATGAAAAGTAAGTTAACTGGAACTTGTTTTCGACATTTCTTTCGTGTTTTCTGGAAACGTCATACTCTTGGTCCTGTCTAACCATCACTTTTTACTATTAATCGCTTGTTTCTGCATCATTTTTCCTTAGCGTATATAGCTGTATCACTTATAGTTAATTTAAACATCATCTTGAATATTCTTGATCGTGAAATCTTAGGTGACATGTCTCTAAATGGATAAATGTGTACTACATTTTTAATTGAACTGAGGAAGAACTCAATTTGGAACAAATTCACCTGCCACACACCCAATAGATAACAACTGTTATGTTGTTGCTTTTTTTGTTAATTTAACATCTTTCTTTGTGTCTTTTGTAATATATATATATATGTATATATATATATATATATATATATATATATATATATATATATATATATATATATAATATTTTCGTATTTCAAGAAAACATTTAAAATATAAGCAGTACGCAAGCTAATTGGTGATATTAGATAGTTTTCCATGATGCTTGTCACGTTTATATGAAAACTGAAGAAAATTACTAAACACTTTTAAGCAAATAGTTTCTTTTAGTCCTCAATGTTTGTTTGTTGATTGGTATTTGAATGGAATTATTATCTGAATATTTATGGAACTACGTTCTAGTTCATTTACGTGTAAACTAGTTTTCTCTGATTACTTTACAAAAATTATATGAAGCTGTGTTTAGCTCACCGGAGATATTATATCGTCGGTCATAATCACTATCTGGTGTTCAGAATACTTCCCTTAAATAAGGTGGACTTGTAGATGAAGTGCGTGTTGTTGCAATATGCAACAGATTTTGACATTGTGAAGGAAAATAAAACTTTCAAATGTTTTGAGTATCTCACTTCAGATAATCTTGACCAAATGCATATATCTCCAATATTTTTATTTTTCATTATAATGTGTCCATGGGTTCCTAATGGAACATAGGAATTCAGTAGCGCGTCTCCATTTCATTCTCTTCTCTGTAGTCTTTTTGACCTAGATCCACAACTACCCATAGCCTTTCATTTCTTCATCACACCATTTCCTCCATGTCACCGTCGCCTTGGGCGCCAAGCTCGTCATTTTCCATGCGGATTCCACTCGAGGGTCTGGCCTGGAGCATAATTTCCCCAATCGGTCTTCTCATCACATGCCCAATCCAACACATCTCCACTTCCTTCTGCATATTTACCTGGGTGATGGATGGCTTCTTGGTTGGTTCGTTGCTAGCCAGTCAGAGTTCCTTGTTGCTTATTCTCATTACTCTGGCCATCTGATCTTCAGTGTCAGTATGGAGTGAGGGTAGGCTACAGCTGTTGACGAATGTCTGTAGTTTGTTGGAAATGACTTTTGTGACGCGCCAAGTCTCTCAACCACCACATAGAAGCACTGAGGTGACTGACATTAGTGTTGGAAATGTGGATCTCGTTCACGCTTTACGCTGAGTGCAGTAGAGTGCAGTGGATCTCCACACTGAATTCAAGCTAATGAAGGCCTATCTTGCTTGCCTTTCCGATCCTGGCTGGCTTTGACATTCTCATCTGTGCTGCCAGCGTCGCCTGTAGTTGAAACGATGCTGCTTAGGCAGGTAGGTGAAAGAGACAACTTCCTTTAGGTTTCACCCGTTCATGGTGATTTGTACCTCTTGCTGTTGGTTCTGTTGTTGGTTGGATATCTTCATCACCTCCGTCTTCTCTACATTCACCTGAAGGAGGTCCCGTTTTCGCTGCCTCAACTCTTCTGTGAACTTGTTGGTTTTCGCTTGTAGACCTTCGAGTTTGTGCCACAAGACATTAGACATAGATCATTCATTATTGGGGAAATCCAAATCTTCTAGAATCTTTTCAGTTCAGTTCTTCTTTTCATTGTTCATTCCTGCACTGCACTGCGTCTCCACTTTCATCACATTGCGATGAAGTCGACCTGATTTTTGGTATAATGTGTCCTAGTGTCTAGTGAAATCCATGTCACTCGCTTCCTTGTGAATATCCTTGTGTTTGTACACACTGCATCACCTCCAATCACCAAGTCGTAGAATGCGCAGAAGTCTGCAAATAGTTAGTTCTCCATTCTCACTCATACTGTCACCGGATGCTTCTCGACCCATGATGAGTTCTCCTCCTGTGTTGTCTGCTCCCAGTTTGGCATTCATTGCATCCCACACACCCATTAGAATGAATTTTGATGTCGGCATCTGTGGTGGGGTGTTGTCCAGCACTGATTGTAGTTGTCTGTAGCATTCCTCCTTCTTCTCTTCATCTGCATTATTTGAAGGTGTGTAGTTTAGCTTAGTGTAGCATTGAATGATTGTGACTTTCGTTCCTTTTGATTTGAATCTTGCTGTCATGATGCTGATCGTTGATTAGGAGATTGGTTCCCACTGCATGAGAAAGAGATCCTTGGATGCTGTTGGGGACATCATGGTAGGCGTTGCCTCAGTGTGTCGGAGTAGATTATTGACTCTGCAGTTGATAGTTTGAAGATCCCACTTACATCGCATCTACTTTCGAAGATTCCTAGTACTTCTATGCTATGCCTTCTCATCTCTTCTGCAATCTGGACAGCCTGTTAGCCAGCTTGAAACATTGTACGGACATTCCATGTCTCCATGTTTACTTTTGCTTTCATCAAGCAGGAGAGAGGAGACACATCGGTCAATTGGCTTCCTGAAGGCTTTCACCAACTGGCGTCATTTCGTCTCCCCGATTCCATTGAGGAATTAGTTTATTTTTATGTTTAACATTTTGTTTGTGCTTTTAAGTTTGTTTCGCGATTGGATTTGTTTTTCGGTGTAGGGTTGCTAGCCGTATGCTCAATCTTCCCTCTTTTTTTTATGGGCTTATGACTGGCTAGTAGCTAGTGAACTGGTAAACTAGACGAGGTTATATCTTCAATAGCAGAATTATATTTCAGATGTCATATTCTACAATAATATACTTATCGTAGCTACTTAGTATATGACGAATCATTTTGTAGTACAAACGTTTGTTGATTTTCTTTTTCTACTGATTGGTCTCATGCGTTCGCTATGCTGCTTTAGAGTACAGGCATTAGTAATCAAAAGAAGATCATCTCTCTAGAACCACTCTGAGCAAATTCTTTGCATTAAGTATTGTTCAGTGTTTACTGACTTTGACTTAAGTGATGTCACCAATCGGAAATTAGAAATCTTTATGCAGGTATCCTAAATTCAGTCATAGATTGTCTTCGTGTAAACATGTTCGAAATGCTTACTTTTATGTATATATTTTTCAATGAGTGCTGAGCTGTTACGCCTTGATTTCTTTGCCATTGTAAAATTTAGTCCTTGTATGCGCATCTGTTATTGGAAACTATGGTACTTCAAATTTGTACTTTAGGCTGAAATTTTCTATACTGGTTGATACCTTATTATTTTAGTTAATTTCTAATTGTATCGATTGTAAAATTCAGTTTGGAAGTATTTCCGCAGAAGCGTTGAGTCATTTTCCTATTTACTAGATTTCCCTTGTTAGTTTTGAAGTGAATTTCTGTATCCAGTTTGACAGTTTTTTAGACTGACACTAACCTCAGTGTCAGAAAAAGTCTTAACTTTATTTGCAGTAGAGACCTCCTAAGTTTTTCATGCAAGAAGCTTAGTTATAGTTGACCATTTTATACCAATTTAATATTTTTGTTTTATACACTTAATTTCCTCAGTGAACTTGGTTAGAGCAATTTTCCACGAAAAGATACAATTTTACCTCATAGGGTTTTTACCTGCTTTGTACAGCCCCAATAAATAAGTCAATAACCTCTGGAACATACTTTATGTGATGCCCTTAAGACACTAGTGAATTTTTCGAAGATTAGAAAGAACATTTCACTTCAGTATGTAATGAAGCTTGAAGTAATGAAATTCACTCAGATACATATTATATATAGCAAGTGAGGAGTGTTTTGGAATGATTGACATGAGAATAAATATCGAATAAACAATATGATGCCAGGTGAAAAAATATGTAAACAAATTGATAAGTGACTGAAATAAACTATTGTATTAATAAAAATGTAGTAATAATCAAGAAATGAATGTAGATATACATAAGAAAGATGATAGAGTATTCGAATTTCTAGCGTCGGCTTGCTAAGATTAATCTTATTTTAGTCTTTCGAAGAAAACCGACTGAGTTATGCGCATTATGCCGTATGCATCAATAACAGTGGTTCAGCTGATCAAATCAACACTTATGGAACATTTGCTACCTCATTCATCTGAAATGTTACATAAACTTTGAGATATTTGAAATAATCTCTTTTAGGTGGAAAAAAACTGAAATTATTCTCAATTCCGATACTCACTAGGTATCAAGGTGTATGCAGAAGTAGTAGATGGTTGACTAACACTCAAAACTACGGAAAAGTTGTTAAACATTAGTTAAATGCATTGTAAAAATCCAAATATAAGGGCTGAGTATCATTCCGCTTTTTTCCTTGATGCTGCTATTATCCTTGTGACTTTTCGAGTATTTTTTACTTATTGGGTAACAGAAGTAGAGTATCTGAAATTGATGAACAGCTGTGTTGGCCTTCTTGTTGGTTCGGTCAGTGAGTTTTAAAGATATTTTATCTTCCATCGCTAACTTATAGTCAAGCTTATTGTGTAGTCTTGAAAACAAACTGATACACAGCATAACCGGGACCCAAGTTTTATCATATGGAGATGCTTACACTTTGTGCCGTTATTGTTTGTGAATTTAAATTTTTATCCAGACTTTGCTTTTATGCTATAACTGTCTTTTTTTTACAGTTCATTATCCAGTAATCAGATTAATTCCATCTGAAGAGAAGGACAAGTCGGTGAATGATACTTTATTAAAACTCAGTTGTTTAGCGCAATCATGTGATTCAACAGCTTCATTTGAAGGGAACAGATATCGTAAATCAAGTGCTTCAGCTAATTCGTGTCCTATGAATGGCCATATCATACGATGTGAATATCTGGACTTATCGCGTTTATCTCTGAAAAGTACAGAGAAGAAAGGACTAACAAGTCAAGGGGTGATAAACACGGAAATCAGTTCAATTATGACAGGGTTAACAGTCATGGAATCGAATACAGAAAAACTGATTGTCACTGTGCCAAGAAGTAAGCTGCCATGTTTTTGATTTCTCATACTTTCTTTGATAGATTTATTCCCTGTACATCAGTATACTGAGTAATACTAGACATCCCTAACCAAAGATATTTCAAGTATCCTCATTTCTGACGACATTGATTTTCATTATCATCTCAACAAAACTTTGCATCGTTTGACAAGCATACTATTGGAGTCATTTAGAATCCTAGGTTTTAAAATATTTAGTTTTTGAGCATCCAGATAACGAACGAGGACAGACCACTGGTTATGCCCGCAACTTTCTTAAACTATTGTGAATACCTTGAAATCTAGTGTTAATGAGGACTGGAATTCAGTCTGTGTGTTTCATCTTATTTACATATCATAAAACAGGGGACAATGCACTGTATTTGACTGGTATTATCATATAGATGGACCGATGAAATCAAATTTGCCTCATCAGTTACTAGTCTGGTTCCACAGTTTCTAATATGGCCCCAAGGTTATTATGTTTTATTCAAAATATTTGGTTTTTAGATAAAGTGATAGGAAGAGAGTTTATCTGTGATACTGATGAGAAATATGTGATAATACTCATATATTCTTCGTTTCATTTTAACTTTCTTTCCTCATAGAAACAAACAGTTCTTAATTCTGCCTAAAAAGCTGCATGCGTTTCACATTGAGAACACATCTTATTCTAATCGCTTCGTAGCAAATACACCATCGGATGAAATTATTTATAAATTTTCCGTAAACAACTGACTTTGCCATGAACTAGGGTAGTTGTTTTGAAAGACATCATACTACTACTACTACTACTATTTATTTCAGTAATATATAGACACGTGGGTAATTTTACTGTAACGTATTTTGTATTACGAAAATGCATTCACAAATTGTGATTGCAAAATATTGATTGAGAGTAAATCTTTTTGCAAAATCATGGATTTCCGAGATAAAAATTTGCAACGTAAGTTAATTTATGCAGAAATGAGGAAAGAACATGTATGAGACCGAAAAAGTTTTCTTTCTCTTGTCCCAAAAATATAATTCTTTTGAAAAATTCTATGGAATTTTTGCATGTTTGCATATCATATATTTTGTGCAACACAGACTTATTGATGCAAAGAGATAACAGGAATTCCGATTTCATTTCACTCATTAAATACTTTATAAATGAACGTGTTAAAATGTTTCACTGAATATCGTAATTTGCAGAGTAAATTTATGATGAAAGACAGAATGATGCTGAAATGTACAACACTGTTTATTATTTCTACCCCTCCAATGAATATTAAAATAAAAATACTGCTTAGGGAGAAAGTGTTTTTCATTGATTTTTATCATAGTTTTCACTAATTACATACTGATTCCATGTGTTGACCAATTTCTGTAGCATCAGCCAGTAACAAATATTTTAAAAACCTTCTGAAATAAACATTTCAAGCTAACAGTGCAATTTAGATCATTGTTCTTAATCTGTCATCATCTGTATTCAATTCCTATGGTATACACTGTCTCCCACTGGAATGAACTTTATTCTGTTGATTATTCACTTTAACTAGGTTGAAACGTGCATTGTTGTATTAATACCATTGATCAGTCACAAACTTTAAATCTATGATGAATTTTGTATCTGTTTTATTGATACTTACTGTTTTCATCGTAACAAATCACTCTAATGACCATAATACAAATGACAAACCCTTGTAGAATTATTGAAAAGATATTCAGAATTTGATCACAACTCTGGTATAATAAGAAATCGACTAAGTTATGACTGTATGAAGACGAGATCACGTATTTAGTGATTGAGTAGTGATAGCTGAAATATGATCAGACTGAAAGATTACTGGAAAATGGCATACGATTTATCCTAGAGGTCAAAGCCTCCGAGGAAAGTGTATGTTGATAGTTTAAACAGTACGAATCAATAGCTGGAGGTTCTGAGTGGCATGATTTAAGATATATCACAATGAGGCAGATTTGTTGGCTCTTTTCTTAAAACCTGTGAACATATTATTGCTGTATTGCTGTCTTTTCGTTTCAACGAAGTCTACCTTTTCTTTATGTAAAAAATTGTCGATTTTGCTAATACCATGGCATTGGAAGGTGCAATAACATGAACTGATCTGTTTCTATGGATGATTTTCTTTGGCTAACCCACCTGCCAATAAGTCTCGGCTTAATAAAATACGAACTCAAATAAGATATAAATGATTTATGGTGGTTTACAGTGAATGTTAGGCAGTTCAGCCTGTCGAAATTGAAGTCGAAATGAACATTCATGCAGCAGGCGGTGAGCCACACATATTGTATGGAGACTAATTATACTTCCTGGCGCTCAAACCTCCTTAGGTGTAGCAGGGCCTGAACCCTTGGCTCATTGGCTGAAAGTCAACCCCTTAACTCAATGATCCGAAGCTCCACAAGTTCATCATGACAAATATATTCCATGGATACACTCCAGCAGAGTTTTAGTACGTTAGAATAGTAAACTTTCATTCTGAAAGTCATTTGGCGCTTAATTTATTACTTAGTTTGAAATCATACTGATTTATATAACTTGAGAATTCTATATACGTATTTAAAGAGCTAAGTACTGATAATTATCGCTATTATTATTAGTCCCTTGGGTTCCTAATGGAACATAGGGCTTCACTAGCACGTCTCCAGTGGCCTCTGTTCCCTGAAATCTTTTCAACCTGGCTCCACGACAGCCCACAACCTCTCATTTCCTCCTCGCACGACCTCCTCCATGTCACCCTCAGCTGGGACCTCCAACTCGTCGCTTCCCATCTGGGTTCCACTCGACGGTCTAACCTGACGCGTGATATCCCCAGTCAGCCTTCTCAGTGTATGCCCAGTCCAATCCATCTCCACTTCCACTTTCTTCTGCATATTTGTTGGGTGATAGGTCCTTGGTTGGTTCGTTCCCAGAGTTCCTTGTTGCTTATTCTCATTATTCTGGCCATCTGATCTTCAGTAGCCAGCCAGCGTAGGTAGTTGTTGATGAATGTCTGTAGTTTATTGGAAATCCCTTTCGTAATGCGCCAAGTCTCTCAACCATACAGAAGCACTGACTTGACGTTGGTGTTGAAAATCCGCATCTTGTTCCACATGTTGAGTGGAGTGCAGAAGATCTCCACACTGGTTTCAGGCTAATGAACGCCTCTCTTGCTTTTCTGATTCTGACTTTGACATCCTCGTCTGTGCCTGTACCGCCTGTAGTTGAAACAGTGCTTCCAAGATAGGTGAAGGAGGTTACTTCCTTTAAGTTTCTCCCGTTGATGGTGACTGGAGTTTGTTGTTGTTGTTGTTGGAGTTATTGGTACGGTATCTTCATCACTTCTGTCTTCTCTATATTCACCTGAAGTCCCGTCTTCACTGCCTTGCCTCTTCTGCCAACTTGTTAGTTTTCGCCTGTAGATCTTCTTGTTCGTGTGACATCAGATACAAGTCATTGGCGAAATCCAGATCTTCTAGGTTCTTTTCCACAGTCCAGCGTATCCACCTCTTCTCACAGCTCCTCACTGTTTGCCGCATGATCCAGTTCACCACAATCAGGAATATCATGGGGGATGGTAGGCAACCATGTTTTACTCCTGTCTTCACTTCAAAGGCATCACTGAGCTTACCACTGTGAATTACTTGGCATGTGGCATTTTCATATAGTTGTTGAATGAGATTGATAAAGGTTTGTGGTATTCCATAGTATTGAAGCAATTTCCAAATTACCTGTCTGTCGACGCTGTCAAAGGCCTTCTCAAAGTCGATAAAGTTGAGGTAGAGAGCTGATTGCCATTCTATGCTCAATTCTATGATGATGCGAAGCGTTGCAATTTGGTCCGCACATGATTTGTACTTCCTGAAGCCTGCCTGCCTGTTCCGGTCTTAATTTTGAATCCAGTGCATCCTTTAGCCTCTCCAGGATGATGCGGCTTAATATTTTGCTTGCTCCAGGTGGACAGGAGAGTGATTCCTTGCCAGTTCTTGCAAACACTGAGGTCTCCATTCTTCGGCAGTTTGACAAGGTAACCCTTCTTCCAATCACTAGCCGGGTACCTTCTCTTCCTTCCACACCTTCTACAATAGTGGTGTGGTGTGAGCATGTCCGGTGTTGTCGTCTCTGCGTCTGCTCCCAGTGCTTCTGGTGGGATTCCATCTGGTCTTGCTGCCTTGCCGCATTTCAGTAGCTTTATGGCGTTCATGACTTTCATTTTTATTGGAGGATTTATGTTCACTTGCAGTTCTGTGGCTGCAGGTGGTATTTCTTGACGAAGTGCAGGCAGCGGTCGATTCAAGAGTTTTTTGGAGTGGTCGGCCCATTGTTTCCTTTGTTTCTCTTCTTTCGTAATTAAATTTCCTTCATCATCTTTTATTAGTTTCATCTGTGTTGATCTCTTCCACCACACATAGTAACCTGGTTATTTGATACAATGTTGTCAGGTCTCTCCTACCTGCAGCCTGTTCTGCTTCACTTGCCAGTGTTTCGTAGAAGTGTCTTTTGTCTTTGCATGCACTCTTCTTCACTTCTTTGTCCAGTGTTGTATACATTGTACTCTGATCCCCTTCTCTTTGTGCATCCTTTATCTTCTGCTTCTCCATCCTCCTCTCCCTGTTTTATGAGCTTGCATGTGTCCGTCGAGATCAGTTCCTAATCTTCTTTCTTCTTCCTTCCTAGTACGGTTATGCAGGTTTCTTTCCACATCTCTTTCAAAGACTTCCAGTGTTCTTCCACACAGGTTTCTTTGGGGATGTTCCTTGATATCTCCCATTTCGTCTTCATGGCTGGCTGACGTGAAGATTTCCTTTGTAATTTCATCCTTCAGTTTCTGTTCCGAGTGTTGTACTTGAACTGAGGTCGTCTATCACCAGCTTCCTTGAAGGCTTTTAACTTGATTTTGAAGGTAGGTTCCTTGCACTAGACAGTGAGTGGTGTGAACCTACATCTGCTCCTCTTCTTGACCTTGTGTCAAGTAGACTACGTCTCCACTTTCTTGAGATTGATATAAAGTCGATTTGA